TAGTTCATAGCTAAACGCTCGCAGGCTTTATTATTGTGCTGTTATGTTCATTAGCCAGCTGCAAATTAACAGGTTTTAGAAAGGAGCAAAAATCGGTGGACACCGTTGAACATGAAAGCCATTCTTACTGACTGCTAAAACAGGATGTTGCGATACGAAACACAAGTGATTCGAATAAAAGCCTAGCGCCGTAGACGTACCAAGGGTTTTGAGAACTGAGGGACAATCGTCAAATTGTGGAATTAATTTGCCACAGGGAGTGTTCGAAGGACCTCCCAAAGGTATGGGACTCTGTTCGAAGCCGGCGCAACAGTCGTAGGAAAATTCCCTTAAACAAACAAATAGAAAATGATAATTATGCACTCAGGAAACAAAACAGAATGTCTATAAATATGAATTTCTAGCTGAGGAATTAGCAGTTGTGTAATGCCTTCTAGCGTATCAGTCTGCGAGTGATATGGGTACTATTCTTATGTTAACGTAATAATACGGGATTTTGGCACCATTATATAAGGTCTTATACAGATTTGTCTATTAGGTTGACTTAAATACGCTTAAATAAAATTTAGCAGGGTCGTCATGCACGTTAATGCCTACTTCCAGACTTGTCATTACAAATCTGGTTGAAGATCTAGTATGCAGGCCGCTATTTTTGTTATCACGACATATTTGCTTATATGGGTTAGGCAGGCATGTTTTATCAAGCGTACATTCCTGGGGAGTTACATGAAATTCTGAATGGAGAAGTTTAAGTGAAGCTTAGGTTTAAGGTTAAGGTTAGATAAAGAATTAGGGTCCGGGTTGGGGTTGAATTTGCTTACTGTAGAACGTGTTACCCATTCTAACCTTTTCTAACCAATAACCCTGAATTTAGAAGAAGACGACCCGATCGCTGGAACAATACTTCTATTCGCCTGACGTTTCGAGATCCGTCGCGAATGCGTCATCAGAGACATAATCAGAGAGCAGCAGCAGATACCTACCAACCCTCAATTTACTGTTTTCCACCTATTTACCCGCCCTCAATTTGCATATCTCCCATTACGTGTCCATTGGAGCCCCTCAATGGAGTAATAAAACAGACATATACTGAAAATGCGAGTATCCTTACTATCCTCCGCAAACCCGTTAATTGATTCGCTCATCTATTTCACTTCTAGTTTGACAGGAGTTGCTGTGTTTTGTATTCTCATTGGACGTTCATAGTAGATCCTTGCCCAAACCTGTTTCCTCATTAGTTAATTCAGGAAAAAGTCAGTTTGCCTCCGCTTCTAAGGATGGCAGTGGACCTCATCGATTGTGAAATTGTGGACATTGTCCCTTGGCGAGAGATATGAAGTTGAATTCGGCCAATTTCAAAAGACGCACGGTGGTATGGCAACCTACTTTTATAATTACCGCATCTCACCTGAGTTCTATCTGTTGCTGTCTTCAAAGGTGGATTCTGGAGGAAATCGAAGACTGCACAGAAATAAGACCCTTGCTTCTGCTCCTGACTCTCTGGTCTTCTTTTTTATAACTCAGTCTCATCTATTCCATAGTTTATCTGCATTAGCAGACAGTGGATTTCGATCATGGATCGACAGACCCCCCCCCCTCCCTGCCCAACGCTCTGATCAAATTCGACATGTTCAGATGTCGTTGGGCAAAATATGCCATGAATATGTAAGCAGGTCTTCATTTCCTCATTAATGGACTGCTTTTCGGGTATCCTTTGATTAAGCTTCCTAGATGAGCATTATTCGTAAACTAAAAATATGGCTGAAGCTATCTTCGAACATGCTGCGTCGCATAACGCAGGTACTGTCGAACCTTCTGTATACAGTCTACGCACAGCTCGACTTTTAGCACTATCGCTCGAAAACCCTGTGGAAGTCGTTTATTTTTGTTAATAGTCGTCTGCATGTTGTAAGTTGGCTGCTTTTTCCCCGTAACTTCCGGAAAATTCAGTTAGTTTACCACTTTATTTTCCATCGCAAATTGGATTTTGGAAAAGTCCTGCGAAAGGCCTCAAACAGGCTTCTCCTGATAAGGGTAAATATGCATCTTCATAGTCAGTTCTATGTGCAAACGGTTGTTGTTTGAACGACTTATCGCTTAGGATCTCATACTCACATCTTTTTCCCGCAACGTTCCATTGAGTAGGGATCACAGCCAGAGTAGAGTGGTGTTCCATCCGGTAGTTTCCATGAGGCGCAGTGGCGGTATCTAAGTTGAAAAGAAGCCGACATTTTACGTTCTTTGAAGAAAAAAACTGATTTAATTCACGCACATTTTACAGTAGTAACAAGCAACTAGGACACAAAGTACATAACTTAGTAGACAGTTATACTAGAGACTGTTGCCGTCGGTGATCATGTTTTGTTGGGGGCTGTCAATTACCGTTGCGTTTGCCCAATGTACTCGTATCAGTGAGTTCATGCAAATGCATAGACTCTGCCGTATTTGCTAGAAATGCTCTGTGGAAATTAGCTTTACCGGTTTCCGGTGAAAAATTAAAATTAAAGCCTCTGCTTGGTGTGACAATAACGAGGACAGGCTCATATTAGGATAACGTCTAAAATACGTTGGTAGCACCTTAGTCGGAATTCAAGGAGCTCAAATTATCCCTCTTCTGACGCCTCTTAGTTTAGCTGACGACGGCTTGCACAGCCTTTTTCGGAAAAATGTTTTAATCGACGCTCCAGTGCTGTATTACATTAGGTTTTGGTGTTATGGTCAAAAAAGTCAAATTGCATCAAGTGAACAATATTTAAAAAGATCGGACGGAAAACAAGACTATGTTGTATTGGACAAGCGTGATTCTTCTAAAATAAAATAAAACAAATTAGGTTGCTCAGTTGCAAAAAAGGATTACTAATTTTGTTAATTTTATGAACCAAGTATTTTCCAAGGTCAAATAGTAGACTATTAACGAATCAACTCACTGATAAACCAGAAAAAAATAATTAGAAGTAAAAGCGCACGTCCAATGCGTCGTGCAAATTGAAACCTAACTCCTGAATTTTAGAATGCAGAATTGGGACACAAAGGGCCATATAACCTCTCGAAATGCTAGAGTTGCGACATTCTACTGGTCTACCGATGTCTGGTGGGAACTAAAAGAGTGGATAACCACGTGGACGAGAACACTGTCTTTCCACTTTCTATACTTTCTGGTTTTCTAAACTGCTCTAGCCAACTATGGTTCTTTGCACGCACAAACTGGCAAGTATTAGAATCTCGTATTCCAAGTGGAATACTAATGAAACCAAAATTTAATTAGAAGTAGGTATGAGCTGCTTGCATAGCATATTAAAACGCCTGATAATTCTCCTCTTCTGTTAGTAGTGGCCACCCGATGTTTGGACGTTGAAACTACCTCTGTACCCCAAATTTAGTCGCAATCCGTTGTCCACCCAAGTATAAGCTGTCGTTAGACGCTCCTGTCTCAGTTAATAAACATTTACTTAAGATTTAGCACGCGTATTGAACCGATCATTCGACCAGTGGGATAAAGTATCATCAAACCTAACAAATTTCAGTGTCTGCTCAAACTAAGTGTATGGAGTCCTGGAAACAAAAACGATGAACCGGCTCCAACTAACCACTTCCCAAGCATGGAGGAACAACCAGATCACTCAGTTCTTCGAAAATTGGTCCATTGCAATATCTCCCATTTTATCGTGCAAATTTCAAGTCAAATCTGGACAAATCCCGATTTTATACAGGAATAATAAGCCTATTAAATTACGTATTGTGAAAACAATGACTATATCCAACTAAGAAAATCATGGTTTAGTAAGGAACTCGTAAAACCATAGGAGAGGACTTCCACTTTTTCGTTGTTTTCAGGCCAACACGCAAATCAATTCATACCTTTCAGGTTAAAAATTGGTGAGTTCTACGAAAAACTTACTTGATCCATAACTTCACAGCAAAGCCTACGCTCCCCTTTTTAACTCGATGGGGGTAGACAGCACTCCGTACTTATGTTCTTCTATGGGTTTAACTTCATTAAGTGGGGGGGGGGCTAAATACGTTTTTGGCGAGCACAGCTAACGTCGACGGGTTGCGATGATATTTGAGGTCTCTTTGGGTCGTATACTTCCAGTTCTTCCACGATTAAAATGTCAAGTCGTTTTTAACGTTTGAGATGCAAATCATAGAAGTCCCACAATGGTAAAACATCGTAGGCTTCTTTAGTTAACAGTTATTTAGAAAAAGCACTGCATTTTGTCTCCTTAAGTAATAAGTAATAAAAGGGTCTCACCATTTGAATCAAACTCTCCTACACGCTACATGAAAATGATTTAAAATGCAATTTTTGTTTAAATAAATATCATTTCCGCAACAAGTACTTCGGTGAAATAGTGTAAACCTCCGGCATTCTTGCTATTTCCGACATTCTCAAATTCCGAGGCCGTTCCGACCCGTTTTCATGGAAAGCGGACGCAAGATATCCAACAACTCAATGCATCTTTCTTCTTGATCGTACTTTCATGTGTTCATGAAAACAAGACAATGGGGTTTTGCAGACAATATATGCATTTAGTTGATAAGGCAGTAGTCACTCACGAGTAATCCCACTAAGAAGCAAATTTATACGCCGCACAATTATAAAAAAATTTAAAAATCCCATTTTCTCTGCTCCATGCTTGCCTGTTGTTGGACATGCGGTATTTGTGGTTCAGATTCCACTTTTATGTACAAGTTGAAATACCTGAATCAAACTAAACGTATGTATGTATAATCGTGCGATGGCAAGCCCACTCTCAGATAGGTAGCATCATGATCATTACAGTCGTGAAAGTACGCAGGGGGGTAAGAAGAACACTTTCTATCGTGAATTTGTGTAGTGTTCGCAAATGGATCAATGACCAGCAATTTTTCTATACAGTTTGGCGAGTGCTGCAAGCAAAAGTCATGAAGAAATTTGACTTGGTACTCTAGCATATATTTGGTCATGTTATTTTGATCCACTGAGTAGATTTAATCCTGCGAAAGCCTTTTAGTCAGGAAAATCACCCTTTTAGTTAAGTTTATTAAAGGTAATGGGCATTAATTTTGGCGAAATTGGAAGTAGTCTGATATCGGATGAATGTCCTATGCTATTAAGTACGACAGAACAAAACAGTTTGTTAATATGCATTATGTTATGGTAGGAATCCAAAATAAGTAAAACAGTGTAAAACATATCCCTTCCAGAACCGAAAAATTGTGTCCGAAATTGTTCAGATGAAAGTGAGGCCAAATGAGACCATTTTCAGAAAGAAGGGACAATTTATGTTTTAAAACTTACGTTTAGCTAACCTGTGAATTATTTTTTCACAAAATACAGTAACAAAAAAGTTTTGATCACAGTTTATTTTAGCGCATCGCGTAAATGGCACATACGAAAAAGTGTCCGTACATGTTACCGTGAAACTAATGTAAAACAGGCCTTTTGTACATTATACTTCCCGCTTATGCGTTAGTTAGAAGCGGAACAGACAGAAGAATAATAATTATGTAAATATCCTGTAAAATTGTAAATATCCTTAGCCACCTCGCATTGTAGGCTTGAATGTGAGTTCTAATGGTACCATGGACGGACGAGTGTGTCCTTTAACAGATCGGTGTACGCTTATCTGCCACTGTATATTCTCGATTTAATAACGACCAGACACCAAGCTCGCAGCTCAATGGTTAGGACATTTGACTCTGATCAAAGAGGTCGCGAGTTCGAGGTTCGGGTGTGACACCATTTGGGTTTGGGTATGACTAGCTGACGGCGGCTAATAAGCCAGAAATGGCCATCCTAGTCTCCCTTGCCTTTGTCGGTAATGCCCTTCTGCCTACATCCTGTTATATGTATGCCCACACTTTTTTTGCATTCGCAAGCTCAGATCAGAGCTCGGAAGTAATCCACCATGGCGGAACATACTCGAATATAAGAAGGAAAGTGCGCTCTTTCATTTCCAGTCAAACTGAATCATTTATCTTCAGGTAACTTAAATACACTTGTCAAAAACCTCCATTTTCGTTTTGACGTTACCTTGGAAAAAGGTAATATGCACAGAAATTAGTCAGCTGACTATCAACTGAAAGTGCTTTTTAAACAGATAACCTGCTATAGAGAGTGTTTTATTAATCTTAGGCATGACACTATGAGAATTTTTTGCGGGTATTCTTTTTGCTCGACAATCTGTTTTGCTGTTTGGAGGAATTTTCACACAAACTAACATCCAAAAACTCATTTTTTTCGGTAAATGCGGTTAATGTTTATCTCATTTTAAAGGTTTTGATTTAGACGTCGAAGAGGAGCTTGACAGTACTGAAAACGCTCCAAAATTTATCGAAATTTAAAGGGCCATCTGTAAGTAATTGGAATTAAATAACGGCAATATGTTTTAACTTTTTCGACTAAGGAAAAGTTTTTATTTACTTAAAGAAAGTGGTTAGCTTCTGTTTTCAACTTGACGGAAGATTCATATTTATTGTTCTAATTTATAGCTATTTTTGACATCTCCGGAACCTGGGGATGATCAAGGAAGTGTTATTTTTCACAACAAATACTTAGAACTTTCCATAGATACTTCTTTTAAGTACCAAAATTTTCCCTTATGCTTTGCATTATTATTTCTAAGTTGCCGTACTTGCGTTCATGCGAGTAATGATCAAAATACTACAAACTTAGGCATTTTGCATGCAGCTCTCTCTCTCCGTACTGCATAATCGTAGTATCACCGTTGGAAACTTACCCATAGTCATCAGGATTTGCGTAGGTTGGTGGCCTAGATTGATCCCCGTAGTTCACACCGTTGGCAGGGAAGAGAATGCTCACAAAAACCGTCAGCAAAAGAACAGCGCTGATACGTTTCATCATCATTACCATCATCCTGTTTCGCAGCAGCTCTCAGTTTGGAAAGCCGTCCTGGCTCGTTCGCTGGCTGCGGCTAATGGTTGCGTGGTAAGTGTGCTAGTGACAGTCTCTGTCCTCTCTGCACACAGCGGTCCCTAGGTATAAACAGTCAGTGCGCGATGCCAAACTCGTGTGGTTTCTTCATTAGCTGCCTTTTATCTGAAAACCCGCCAACTGCTGGATTGAGGACTGGTAGTGGCAGTGGCCAATTGTTTATGAAGTAGGTGGACGAGGATTGCCAAGGGTGTTTTTCTGCCGACGGCTGAAATGACGGGGTGTATGTGGGTTACGTCTTTGTTCGTCGTGGAGCCACCTCTATCGGTACTGGCGACAGTGCGCATGTGGTTTTTCTGCTGTCCGTTGGTTTTTATTTAGCCTATCATGCAGTCGAATATTGTGTGAGAACCGTAAGCTTTGCAATGAATCACGGAGACAGCATGAAAAACTGTTGAGACTAAGCAAACGCTGATGCTCTAATAAAAATGCATAAGATAAAAGCCAAAACGGAGATGTTACGGTGAGCACCTTCTTCCAAAAGGTTCATGCTTTGAATTTTGTTGGCCTCGGTGAAATGATTGCAAATTTCACAGAAAAGCAGTAAAACTATGCGATCGTTATACCTAGCACAACTGTTGGCATGAAATAGGGAACCTTCTGTACTTTTAGGCAGTTTAACGATGAGCTTCAGTTCTTCAGCAGTCCACAAATTCTCTGCTCCAGTCATGGTTCTCAGTCCCCCAGTCTATCAGCAAACGCAATGATTTGGTGTTACCCTACTGCTTGCTAAGAAATTGCCTGAGAAAGAGAATCAGTCACGTGGAAAGGGCCGGGCCCGGCAAAAAGTTGGACGACAGCGAGCATAACTGTCGTGCAATTACCAAGCCCGCATCCAACACGGGCAAGCAAATCGCGACAATTAATGGGTCGAACGCGAATGTCACGTCATCACCGCACCAATTAAGACCCCAAACGGTGACTACGGGAGACAAATGGATAATTATAGTACACACGCGGATGACCGCTATGAACTATAAAAACCATGCAATTTGTGCATGCATCACCCTAATCTGCACATGTCTTATATTTTTCTACGATTACCTATGATTAAGGATTCCCGACGGAATCCGAAACGTCAGGCAAATAAAACTCTTGTTCCAATGGTCGCATTTTCTTCTGAACTGCTTCCTGGAACTCGCATATTCACTTCTATTGGCAAATTCTCTACTATTTAGTTTCAAGATCAGTACTGACAAAAACGTGGAACCATTTTATGGCAAATTATGAAAGATTTGTCTTTTACAGGAAGGTCGTGAGTGTGGACGAATGAGTGTCAGTTTTTGAGATACTTTTCTGCCTTGCTTGGCCGTACGTTAGTAGCATGTAGATGTTTTAAAGATTGCGCTTGACTTAAATTTCGTTCGTTGTTGTTAGAGTGGGCAGTCATATACAAGCAAACTCCGGTGCCGCGGATTATTTACACAGTGATCTGGAACCCTAAAGTTGAGGGGGTCGTTCCTCACTAATTCAAAATATCAAGATAAATTCATAGCCGGTATCGCATAAACTGGAAGGCAGTCATCCCAAGCAATGTAATTTCAGGTAAAGGTGTTCTTTGGGTAAATTTTTGACCCTGGATCATCAGGTCACCGTCAGACTTGAGAAAAATTTGTAAAGAACAATTAACTATCTAAAGTGCTGATGCATTTATATAGTCGTTTATTGTGGGTGCTAATTGGTAGTTGCAATTTGCTTCACATCGTGGTGAACATGATTAACAGTCGCAATGGCGTAATTGCTAACTGGCAACTGTAATTTGATTCGGTCCGGCGTCAGTCCAGGTCATCCGGTGTGGGCGCTAATTGCAGTTCACGTTGGTCCATATTTGTCGGCTGTAGTCTTTTCCACCTTTCTTTGAGGTGTTTGTACACTTCAGCCAACTCAAAGCGCCGGTTGATTCATGAATCATCGGAGTGCATGGCCTCAAGACATTCTCGGCCTTTTTTGGAGGGGCAAACTATGACGATGCGTGTTATGTCTCATGCAAAGGTGTGTCCTGTGTCAAGGCAATGCATAGCCACTTCGGAACAATGGTCGCGTCTCTTCACTGTCAATTGGTGCTCGTGGGTGTGTGTGGAGACGGATCTTCCTGTTAGGCCACAATAAACCGTGTCACAAGTTTCGCATGGGATTTTGTAGATGACTTCTTTCTTATCGAGGTATCTGCTTTAATTTGCAGCAGAACGCCGAACTTGAGTTCTTACTTACTCAAGAAGTGAAGTTAGGCGAATTAACGTTTTCGATTAATTCATCACCAGGCAAATACAATAAAACAAAGGGAGGGTAGAGTTAGCAAAAAGTTAAGCAACCAATCAACGGTAAGTGAGGGGGAGAGGGGGGACATTTTAAGAGATCAAAGGGTAGGGGGGAGGACGGTACCTACAATTAGTCCATGTTGCCCGGTCGTCTCGTCGCCGCTTCATGGCGTCTGGACACCAATTGTCACTGTCTCATCACCGTCTCGTAGT